ATGTAAGTTTACTGCCATTAACAGCTTTTTGCTTTTTTTTACCACCAGTTTGCGTCATAATGTCGATTTTACTACAAGGTTGTATTATTTCCATGTTATGCTGCGTTCAAGGCACATTTAGATGTTTTACTACATAAATATATTAAAAAAATAAACGTGGACAATGAAAAATAGTTAAAATCAGCTCCCCCCCCTGGCAGACTAGCTATATTAAGAATGGATTAACTATATAACCAATATTACAATACGGCCATCATAGTAAAAATACTAATAAAAGCTGACTGGCTCCATAATTCTACCAGCAATACTGTTGGATCATATATATAGGCTATATAGCCTACCTTTATATCTATAGCTATATCTCTATATTATTATTGTTATGCTGGTTGAGGATGTGATGTTCATACCTTATACAGTAGGCTACATTAACTACATGCTGTTAAAGAAATTGTCACAGGAAAAGACATGGCAGAGGGAGCAGCCAAAGTGATACCACAGACCCAAACAGATAAGTCTTTGTTTTGCTCTTTAACACAACAAGAACGAGGGAAAGTGTGTGTGTTGTGTGTGTGTGTGTGAGAGAGGAGAGAGAGAAAGAGCACGGAGAGAGAGGAGAGCGGATTGTAGAGTACGATTATATAACACAAGCAGCAATTGCAGGACATTGAGAGATTGGCTTTCTGGCAAGAGACAGACAGACGCCTGGGGGTGTACAACCCACCCACCTTATTTCAAAGGGTGGCAGATCTACCTGTGGAAGCCACTTGCTCCGGATAATAGCAGCCTGTGTGCTGTTGAGAGAGGCGAGTGCGTGGGATTGATTTCGAGAGCTGCACTATATCTTTATGAAGCACACCTTACTCAGCCAAAAGACTTACATCTTAAACTGTGGAGCAGTGGGCCTGTAAAATGAGCTCAGTGTGGCATTAGCCTTACATGTGATGGGACTTCAGTAATCTGAAAACACTTTGGCAGTTAAGAGATCAGAGATTAATTTACAAACACTGCAAGAAAAAAAAAACCCTGTATTACTCTGAAACAACTGAATAATGTGTAGGATTACATTTTAAATGCACTTGTTATTATCATTGCTTTCTTTAGGGACAGAAATTATTTGATCTTGATCTTATATTTTATTTTACAATAAAAATTCCCCTTCCTAGCTAAGAGATTGGCAACGTGATGCTGAATTTATTATATTTCAGGTGCACTTTTACACAATATACTGTTCTGCTTTCCTTTATGAAGCAAATTATTTAAGGTTCAAGTGCTCTGTGGAGGAGATTCAATCACTGTTAACTATGGAAACGTCTACTCTGATTCACAAAACTGACATTTTGGTCCTACAATCTGATTTTGATGGGGAAAATCCCTGTGAAAGGACTAGCATCAAACGTCCACGTGGTGGACATTTTTAAAATTTTACAGATGAAGAATGAAATTAAATCTGATTATATAACTTAAAAACTCCGCCTGCTCTCCTAAACATTTTCCACTATCCTCCTTTCATCAAAAATGTGAATCCCCCTCCTCTCCCCATTAGAATTTCCCTTTCACGTTATTGATCTTGATTTTGGTGGCGAAAATTAACAAAACGTGCTAAGTGAACACAATTCGAAACCAGAAACCATGTTAAGAAAAGCTTCTTATTATTTCTATGTACACAACATTCAGCACAGGATCAGCAACAGATGTCAGCACCAGACTGTCCCCGTCCAACAGTCTGTAGTGGAACCATATGTTCATTTCTCTGCACTGGAAGGGGTGATTTATATCTCTGTGGTTATTAGTAGAGCTGTCAAAGGAAGGTGGTTATTTATCACACTAACAGCAAACAGTATCTTCTTACTCTGGCCTCAGGGTATAAAACTCTACTTTGCACCACAGACCTGTTGATTCACAGCTCTGTCCCCCTGCTCTCCATACCACAATTACTCACACCAGTAATGAAAATATTATTATCTTCATATATATCTAAACTGTGAGTTTGCCAACAGTGAAGTTACCCGATCCAGCCCAGTCTGCTCTAACCACAGGCGACTGTGAATGTGACTGGGCCCGGAAAGGTGACGGGCTGGGGTCTTCTGATATAAAGAGTCTTTTGTCTGAGCGAGTCAGCAGTCCAGGAAGCTGCTCTAATCTGTGTCCTCATACATGTATTTTTTATGAATTATATCTCAGGGAGAGGTGAGGGAAAGTTTAACAGGCAGTGATGTCAGCGCCGGCTGAAACACAAGCCAGATCAATAAGATCAGACTGGAGATGTCATGTCTACCTGTGGAAGTTACATCACAGTCTGCACACTGTTTCAACATGATGTCTCCTCAAGAAAGCTTCAGGTGCACACTGAACTGTTAATCTTAAGAAAAAAAGAAAAAAGTAGGAGGATCACAGCATGTCCATAGAAAGGCCTCTTCACTGGGGTTCCTCAAATTCTACTTGAAACAATCAGTCTGTATACAGTCCTTGTTGTGTGGGCTTTAGAGTGAAACATTTAATAACACAGCCAAATAAGAACAATCAACAACAGTAGGTTTTAATGAGGTGAAAAGAAAACACAATTAAAAATGCATTATTTATCGTTTAATTACATGTAGGCTAATTAAAAGAGAAATGTAATATTTTTTTAGTTGCAACATTAACGAAATTCAAGGACAATAAATGCAGCAAACAAGCAGTTTAATTGTAGTATTTTTTACTTGGGCTGTATACTTTTACATTTTTAATCGATTTTACCTCCTTGGACTAAAATAATGTTAGTAGCCTATACATATATGTATATATATGTACATACTGTATATATTTAAAATAAGTAAACTGGAAGTATATTTCTCGCCTGCACTCGCTTATATCCGAGTTCATCCACAACTTCCTTAACATTTGAATAGCTTTAAAAGGTCTTAGTCAACATGCTGGCAAACGAATAAGAAAATGAACATGTCGGTTTTTTTTTTATTTATTTGATTTTTATTAAATGATTTTTTTCGGATTTTGCAGGAGGATTATTTCAGGTGCATTAGGCCTAAAACAGTGACATGCGCGCAAACATCTCTTTGTTTTCCATACTGACAAGTGCATACACATATGTGGAAAATAATGAACTAAAAGGAGAACATTGTTTTTAAAACAGGAATGTAGTTTCAGTTAACAGATGCAGATCAATGGCCATTAATTACATTTTAAAAATGATTATGTGACCTTTTCTTTGGTTACACTGATGTGTTTTAAAATAACTAACGCGCTGATACATGTTTTAGCACTTTTTTGTAAATGACGTGTTTTAGAAACCTTTGATTACATTTCAATGTGAGACACTTTATGCTTCAGGTATTTCTTTGGTAATTTGACACAATTTTTCACAACACGCGTTCTGATGAAATAATACAAGTCAAGTGCAAAACATTTCCCCACAGATATCTTTCACTGTAACTGTAGAATTTCAGGCTTTTCATAAAATCAAGAAATTCCAATGCACAGGTAGGCTACTCTTTTAAGTATGATGCTCTGGCCTTTTATTTGTCAACTTTGTCAATCTAAATTCTACAGCAATATTTGATATATTGGGCACTAGTACTGTTACTCTATTTTTCTATATTCCAAGACGAAGGAGGGCTTGAACTGACTTGAGCGCAGTAATTTGGAAAGTCATTACAGCACCCCCCGAGGTCTGAGTGACCGTTCTTGGTTAAGAATTGTACCGGAGGCGTCTTGGATGTGGCGCACTCCTCTTGGCACGGACTGAACGCCGCGGCACATGGTATTTGGTGAGAGTAAAAGTAGCTGGCTTGTCCGGAGATCATGTTAAAAGAGCACGGATCCGACAGTGGCAGGCTGCACGCAGGGATGGACGTGGAAAACGCGGTGCAGGCAGTGCCAATCTGATGGCGACGGGACTGCGCGCAACTGACGCCAATGTAAGACATCTCCTGGTGCGTCTGCACGAACCGGTCGGCGTCTGCAGCACTTGTTGCACTCAACCGGGACCGCTGTGAAACAAGCGATGTGGCGTGATTGGGGAAGCGGGGATGAGCGCTCAGATACGTCCCTGCGCCAAGGTGGGTGCGCACTGGGGTTTGGAGAGGCAGAAACGGCGGCACCGGCCAGTAAAACGGACCCGCTGCGGCCAAGGTCACGCTGGTTGCAGTGCTGGAGGACATCAGGCGACCTCCTCCCCTTTTTAGTGCAAGTTTGGCCCTGGAGCCAGCTGCGGCCCTGCGCCGGAGTTTCCCCGATGTGCCACCTATGAAGACGTCCTCACTGCAGGGGTCCAGCATCCAGTAGTTACCTTTACCCGGGTCGTCATAGTGGCGCGGCACTTTAACGAAACACTTATTCAGACTCAGGTTGTGCCGGATTGAATTTTGCCACCCCTGTCTGTTCTGCCGGTAGTATGGAAAGTTTTCCATGATGAACTCATAGATGCCGTTGAGGGTGAGCCGTCGTTCCGGGCTCTGGCGGATCGCCATCATGATGAGCGCGTTATAACTGAAAGGAGGTTTCTCAGGTTTAACACTTTCTTCTGCTCCCCCGCTTTTCTTGGATTCTCCCTTAGACCCGTCTCGTTTTCCATTCGCAGTCACCGATTTGGTTTCAGCTTTAGCGCACTGTTTGGGGGTTTCGCAGTTCTTTTCACTGTTAAAGTTTTCTTCCTGAGCGGCTCTCTCCGGATGCGCGGGGCGCAGTTTCTGGGACGGACTAGGAGACTCTTGGTCACCCATCACTCCCTCTCGTCTCCACAACAGGCTGCTGATGCTGAACGAGGACTTGTGGAAAAATCGGTCCGAAGTTTTCAAATCCTCCATCTTAAAAGGTTGACGTTACAACTAAAATCCTCAGAGGCGTCCGGCGATCAGAGGGGAGCGCGTCACTGCACTCACAGAGTAAAGATGCGCTGATCCAAAGTGTCGAGGAGGCAAAGACGCACAGCGTGACAACAAATGCGCATGATCACAGCGGCTCACTAGTTACCTACGAAAAGTAGTGCATTACTTCGTTACTGGATCTAAACATTAACAACTCATTTGTGGCGTAATTTTTGCGCGTTCCAGTACTTGGAGAGGACTGGATCCTCCTTTTAGAATCACTAATGTACCCTAATAAAGCTTTTCAGTCACTTTTTCCCGACACAATCAAAGCAGTAAGAAGAGCATGCCCTCATTAAAATGTTTTATTGGCATTGGCACTTATGGGCCATTCTTTTAAAAATCCAGAGTAATCTCAATAATATTTCGGAATAACCAAACACCTATACTCTCTACCCGAACCGTGCCAAGAGTCGTTCGAACCCCGGATGAAATTAATGTGCTGTCAATCTGTGTGACTGATCGCTGAACTCTCGAGTTCAATTATAACACTTCCGTGACTCATGAAACTCAACCCTCTCACACGCGCCTTGCCCTCTGGGCTGGCCTTATCTTTCTCACTTTTTCTCCGTTTCTCTGTGCGCACCTTTACTCACACATCGTTTGGCAAAAAGCCGCTCAGAAAGTGGGAGTCGGCCGAATAATCTGGTCGGTAATGGGCCTAAACAAACACAGAGTAAGAGAGCAAAGAACAGATGCGTGTTGTGTAAAGTTTGAGCAAATAGGGCAAGATGTTTCGACATATTTCTAAACCTGTTACTGCAAGATTTAAAACGACTATCAGTGTCGTGAACAAATAAGGCACCTGTGGCAGATGTTTTGAAATGAAAACGACTTACTGAGAATAGAGAGAACAGGCCTGGGCCCAACACACCACCCTGCAGATTCTCTTATGCCCATGTTGCATCAACATGACATCCGTTTGCAAATATCATAATTTAAGCACAGCTGCTGCTGATATCCTGTTCACATTCCTAAATATTTTTTTTTTTCAAACTGACAAGTCATAATTAAAGCAAGTGTGTGGGTGAAAGGAAGGGAGGGAGAGACAAGGTTTTTTCTCACTTATGAAGACAGTGATTCATCCCATCAGATGTGAATGAGGCAGGTTAAGACAGCAAGCTAGATAAAGTTTTTAATTGTCTTCTTGAAGGCACAGCAAATAAAAATAAAGGTTAATGGCACTATAGTACAAACTTTTCACTCAGGTAGTCGGGTGCTGAGTGTCTACAGTATTCCTGCCTAGCTGCAGGCTTTTTCTCATGAAGGATGCAGATATTGTTCTATATGGGACAGCATTGACACTTTTTCAGGTATCCTGCTACACAGACAAACGCCTGAGGAGAGAAGAAAACATATACCAACCACCACTGTTAGAGGTGGAAATGGTTTCCGCAGCCTTCTTTACTATTTCAGTCATGTCCGTTGAGTCCAGTGTTAATAAATCTCTGTAGTAGAGCGCATAGAAGCAGACAGTGCATAACAGTGTAGTTATATTGTTTCCAAATCCCAAAGACAAAAAGGGCAGGAAAGTGTGCAGTGATATCTGTTCTGATATTGAAATAGAAAGTAGTACAGTCGACAGTAGTTCAAAAATGATTTTTCATTCACTTGACCATAAGAGATTTACTAGTAGTAAAGGACAGTACAGGTAGGGGCAAACAAGGGACATTTCTGAGCCTTTTTTGGTAAAGAGGGCACGATGAACACATAAAAAAAAAAAAGATAAAAATCCCTTTTCTTAGAAAAAATATAAGTTGGTTGCATTTTTCACACAGAAAAAGTAATTAATTTAATCTAATATAAAAGTGCACAAAAAAATTAAACACAAAATAAAATAAACCTTGAAAAAAACAACATTACTACAACATAATGTAATTATTACAACAAATGACTGACCACTGTACTGTAACAATATAGTGACTTGTACCTACAGGCTGCCACATACATTCACTACCATCAAGACAATAACTAATTAAAGACCATCCTTCAGGCAATGGTTGATTTAAATAAGAAACAAGTGACAAATAAGTTAGATTTGATACTGGTTACTGATGCGTCTGCAGTGTATTATTGAGTTCTCCAGGCCTGTACCACGGTAGATGGAGGCCGCGCTTTACCATTTGACCAGCTGCAATTCAACTTCATGGTACTTATGCTACATTGTTAATTTTCAGTCATTGTTATAAATAAAATGATCTGTTCTGACGTTTTTTTTTTTTTTTTTTTTTACAATTCACATACCAGACATTAGACGATGATGGCCGGAACTACATATATAATCTGTTACCATTATACCTCCTCTTAGTCAATTTGATAGGGGCCTCCCTCCATAATCTCTTTGCTGCACAAGTGAGCACTTGTTGGGAATGTTTCAGGCACTGCAGAAAGCATGCATTGTTGTCTCAACACTCGTAATCCCCTTGGATCTTTTCCTCTGTTCAACATCTGATTTCATGTCTTGTGTTGTTTACAATGAATTTGCAGTGGCACCCTGAAGACATTTACGTGAAAACTCGGCCTCTGTAAAGACAATTAGTATAAAGGCTTATAGTGTATTTGACCATTATTTAAATTCATTGTGCTTGGAGGACTCCTGCTACTCTGTGGCCAACCTGGTCCTCTGTATGAGAGGTAAAAACTAAAAGAGAATGCCTCACATAATAAAAAAATCAATCAAAAAGTCACAATATTGCAGATATTTGGTATTTAAGTGGTTATGCTAGCACAGCATTAGAACAGGTTAAATTAACCTGAAGGGTATCTTACACCACAACCCCAGTAATAAAGTATTCAGAAGTAAAATGTAGTGCCCATAATATTCATATTGCACTTCGACTCAATTAAATAAAAAGTACATTACACATTGGAATCAATGTAGTCAAATAATCAAAATAAAATATAAGAGTTACCGTGACAATCTGTCAGCACTATGGATTGAAGTGCACTGATTCTTGAGTTTCTAAATCAGGCACCGTTCTGGAGAGCCTATTGGTTTTATCCAATATGATGGCTCCCCCTGCTGTAAGAGAAACATCTAACAGGCTGTGAAACCGATAGGACCTCTTCAGGACCTGTTACAACACAAACCTTCCTAAGTTAAGAGGAGACCCATAATAAAAAAACAACAACAATTACAGGTAGTGAAATAATGTTCTACCATCACTATCATAATCTGCAGCGAGCTTCCCTCAGTTGTGGCAGTGCAGCATAAAGTTTTGCTCCTGGACATTCTGTGTTTGCCAGATCTCTGTGTCCAAACAGGACATACTCTGAGTGTAAAAAGCCCTCAGAAACTCCGGCCTGCAGCAGCTGTTTGACGGACGATAATGCCTCTGTGCTTGGCGTGTCATCTGAAATCATTAGAAGTAGCATTATGGTTACGTGCAGTAAACATATTAAGGACAAGACATTTTATCCAGACTTCATAAAATCATCCTGAAGACTGTTTTAAAGTGACATATGATGTGCTCTTATTGTTGCCACAATGCAAAAATGTGAAAAGTGAACTTACTGTTGAAGTTGCCCATGAAGGCAATCCCCACTGAGTCATGATTGTTGCCTTTGCTGTGTGCTCCTACCACACCCCAGCCACGGCCCTCATACACTGTACCATCTCCTCCAACAAGAAAACTGAAACATACACAAAGCACGGTTGGGTCCTATAGCACTGAACACTGGCAGGGACTCATGAGAAGCAATACATAATTCATATCCCTTCAATATGACCACATTGTACATACAGTACTATATAAACATCACTCAAGCAGTAAATGCGGGAGAGCTACTCACTTATATCCAATGTCATCGAACCCTCTTTCCGTCATATGCAGTCTCTGGATGTTGAGAAGGCCGTGTGTACACTCCTTCAGGCCTGTGCACTTTGAGAGGGCAGTGTGATGTATGACAACTCTCTGGGCAGGGCCCTTCAAAGTCTCCTTTTGTCGAGGGGCTGCCGCTCCCCACTGCCGCCTTGAAAAATGTTTCACTGAAAAGCAGTTTGAAGATGATTAAATGCATATTCCAAATCAAAAGTTAATCATCTTTAGCGTAAGCGGTTTGTTGTCGTACCTTTCTGGTCCATACCTCCGCACACAGAAGCCTTTTGGTTTTGATGACTGCCTGGCAGCAGACTGTGCAGCTGCATTATCAATGAGTCTGTTTGAGGAGGTGTGGTCACGGAGAGTACACCTTCCTTGTTCTTTGTCGTTACAAGTGGATACATATCATGTTGATCCACACATTATTTTTCCACTGGCTGAGTAATAGTCTAAAGTTGCACAACAGGTTGTTTGGAATATACACGTTTGAAGGAGGAGGAAGTTGAGTCGACACTGTTAACATTCCACATAGCGACAGAAGGACGGTGGTAGTTTCCTTCCCACTGACCAGGCATGCCTGCTTTAAACTGGTGTTAATAGTCATGTGAGTTTTAAGAGGAAATACTTAGTATCTCTGTTGCAATATCAAGTATGCTTTTCCCATAGGGGAAAACAGGAAGTGGTACAACCCTGGTATAAATAAGCAACACTAAAGAGGCCAATGTGCATTTCTTACATGTTTACTTGTTTCATTGAACACTCAGACAATATTTAAACAATGTATTCTTTTAATCTAACACAACACACTTACAAAACGACAACTGTTAAAAAAAATATTAATACATTATATTCACAAGATGTTGTCTAATCGCTGCAAGTGTCATCATACAAAAATAACTTCAGGGTCTACAAACATCAGCAGGGATATTTTTTGTGAATGTCAACACCGTAGATGTAAATGTTAGACCTCTTCATTATCACTGGCTTTACTCTGTCCATCTGTGTCCACAGTGAGGGGCCGTGCAGACATAGTACAGCCTCATAGCATCCTGTTGGGAGAAACACCGCATATGGTTAAACTAGTAGACTCTGTTTCATTAAAGCAGTGGTTCTCAAACTGTGGGGCATAGAGCCACTGCAGGAGGGGCGTGGATCACCAGAGTGGAACAAAGGTGAATGGATATGATTTACGTAGGGAAAATGTACAAACAAGTTGATGCTATTGTTCTGACCTAAAACTCAACTTGGACCATTTATTAGTTTTGGTTCCCCTTATCATTGTTTATTGCTAAAAATGGTGAACTTTTTTCAGCTTCTGAAGGGGGGCATGCCAGAACAAGTTGGAGAACCACTGCATACAGACATATATCATAGATAACCAATATGAAGAACTAAAGTTAATGCATAATGTCGTGTAACACAGATCATTACCTCAGCCTTCATACTGTGAGACTGGAAGAATACTGCCTCTTTGTGACCACATCTGGGAAGAGACATAGCACAATGTTAGAAACTACTGTTACGACACAATGTGCCACTCACTGTCACAATGTCTCTGAGGATACATGTGCTGGTGCAGTTCTCTCACGCAGGGAAAAACAAAACAAAAACAAAACCCAAAACATAACAAACACAATGTTTATATCTTAAAATGTATACAACACACAATAAATAAGCAAATAATTAGCAATTAATACACTGGCATATAAAAAAAATATTGAAATATTTTGTTTATATTTATTTTTTATTTGTGATATTCTACTGATTCTCAAAAACACTGTATTAATTTTTCTGGTTAAACCCAGAGCTGCTAAAGTGCTAAATGATGTTGGATGTTACAGCAACTGGGGGAAATATAAAAGCAAAATAAAAAAACAACAACCTTTAAAACTCAGATTTTATTCATATGGTGGTGTGTTCAATCAGTTTTCCTGAAATATATATCGCTTAGCTTACACCATATCACTTTATATTGAATCATAACCCTTGTATGGTGATATGTATCCCATCATCAGATTCCTGCCAATACACAGCTCTACTGTTCACAAGAACAAAAGGTGTGTATATATGACACAATCATTTTAAGTTTACTCCCTCTTTGTTATGTGAAGGGGTTGTTGTTTAATGTACAACAACTGTTAATTACACCCAGTCTGAGGCTGTATGCAGCTTTAAGCCACACATGGTTTGTATGGTAGCTGTTTCTGGATATGATGTGCTGCCCTCTTTTGGTCCAAAATAAGTTAATACAGACTGTAAGTCAGCCAAAACTCTTTCCTGTGCCATGTACTATACTGAATGTTGCACCAAACAAACAACAGAAGACGTATTACCCTTAACAACACAGACAGAACAATTAGCGATCTCCAAAAGGAGTGAGTGAGGTTGATTTTCTATGGTAAAACTTACTTGGGACAGGGGTGGTCCTCTGTCCTTGGTAGTGTTGGATCCTGAGATACATCAGCGATGATTTGTGTCAACTCACTGGAGAAAGAGAGAAGCAAGATGCAGGAAGACATTACATCGTTTTAGTACTGCAGTCAATGCACTATTACAAATATTTTGCCTTCTATGTAGTCAACATACGTTTACACAATAATAATAAAAAAATCTTCCTACAGTCTGAATAAGCACAAAACATTCAAGAGTTTATCTTTTACTGACTTTCAGAAAACCCCATTAATTGTCAGGATGTACTCGAGCGAATTACTGTGCACCTGAAAATGTCTGGATAATGCTTTTAACTTGGTTTGTCAGTGACCATTTTGGAGGCTCTAAAAGGTGCTGCAGTGGTTGCGCAACAAGCAGAACAAATCCTAAGGAGAAACCTAAACCTAAACACTCTAAAGAGTACAGTCTAGGCCTGCTCTATATGAGAAAATGTTCTGTTATGATTTGGCGTTATATAAATAAAATCTAACTGAACTGTAAGCCTGTACTTCACTATAGCAAAGTGAGAAGTTAAAACAACTGGAGGTCATAAAAAAACAAGATCTTCAGTGTATTAACAGCAGGGAACTATCAGTCACTTTCAAGCTCATCAATGTCTTGGTCATTTCTGTGGCACTTACTCAACCTCATGGGTGATCTTGTTGACATAGATGCAGCTGTTGTCTGCCTCTTGTTGGTAGTCACAGTTCCTGCACTGTGGATAGGGCATTCAGCAAATGATTACAGCCATACAATGGACATTTATACACCTTGCCTTCCCTTAAGACCTTTGTTTACACCCTGTGGGGGTCAACAACAACAACAACAGCGTATCACAGGATATAAGTTTGACCTTGTATATAGGTCTATGTTTGGAGTGGTCAGTCATCATTTACACTGGCTGCATTAGACAAACACTACTTGATTGACTCTAACTGATGCTTGGGCCAACTTCATTAACCAGGAAACATTGTAACTTTAACAGTTTTGTCTTTTTTGTCTGTCGCTTCATGATTCAAACACTAACTTTAAACATTGGGCTAATTTTCCTCTGTTTTTCAACCACCGATAGGTAGGATATGTGCTTCATTAAAAGCATTTTCAAACAGGCCTTTTTGGTTTAACCGGAGAAAAGACATCAAGAATGAACACTATCCGGTTGGTTTGGCCAAAGTCTGTCTGGTTAAGGGCCAACCTCCGTTAAAGAACAGCGCACAGCCGCTTCCCTGAGCTCTTCTATAATACTGGTTCCCAACCCGGGGACACAAGTCTTCTTCATTTTAAGGGCTGCATTACAAAAGTTTGCAGTTCAAACCAGAAAGCTCCTAGAACAATGGCCAAGCCAAATGGTCAAAATAATACAGACAGAAAACTGTATGTTAACTTTAATAAAACTATCAGGAAAACTAATTTCTCATGCATCTGAAGTGTAACCGAGGCACAGAGCACCTTATTCACCTCAGGCTTCTTTGTTTACTGTACAATGTTCTGCACTTTAAGTTGTAAGTTTGATTTTATATGCTTAACTTTAATCTCTTCTACTTGTGTGTTGCCTAACGTAGTCGAGCAAAGTAAGATTTTAACTGTACGTATAAACCACTTACTGTACATATGATAATAAACCTCTTGAATCTATTTCACAGGTAATAACCTGCTCAAAAACACCCAAACTGTCTACTTTACACAAACTGTAGCTCATTACTGTTGAATTTACCGCTAATATTAAATATCCATAACATATGTCACTTAGTCAGTTTACTCAATGACAGAAACCACTGAACATGACAAAAAGGGACTAAAACTACGGCAACAGTATATGTACAATAAAGTAATCTTATATATTGACTCTTGCCTTTATGTAAGGCTGCTGTAAGGTTATAACTTATAACTTTAGTCCAAACAGGAAACTTACCGCATAAAGCAGGATGCGGTTCTCCTTGTCTTCTTTAGGATATAACATGTTGTTACTGGAAGACAAAGTCAGTGTGTTTAGCTGGTCAGCGTTAGTGTTTTTTTGTTTTTTGTTTTTTTTAAATGATTGGTCCTAAATAAGACTTCCCGTTGTATGAAGACCTTAAGTTAACATGCAGCATTAACACGTAAACGTTAGCCAGAAAGCTAACTGCTCGGTATCTATCTATCTGAGCTGTAACTCAACCACAAACTCACCATTCCTGACAAAACCGTATCCCTACGAAGCCTGGTTCGTATGTTCCAGTGTCTAAATCCATTAGGAAACCACTGGTCGGACTACTGGTTGAAGCTGAACCTGACAAATAATAGATGTGATGCTCCTTTCACGTCTTCTGCCGCCGCTAACGCTGCCACTCGTTTGAAAACAGATCCTCTGCGCATGCGTGTACTCTTAGCAATTTGTGTTAATTTGTGTTGATTTGTGAGACAGCGCCTCTAGGTGTGGGAGGACAGACACGACTCTGAAGTGGACTTCATTTTATTTGTATTCAAGCAGTGTTACATTGTTGTTCAGAGATATATAAGCGACGTGTTCGTTTCAGAAGAAGCACAATATAACTTTATCCGTAACAAACTTCACTTGATAGCAAGAATACAGTGAAGTGGTAGCGGCTCACTGTGGGAAAAGAAAAGCACGGCCAAGAACTTCAGTGACATTTTGACACTTACGCCATTAACCCAAACGAACCCCAACAAAGACAGTGTCATTATCGACAGTTGCAAAGATATCGTTTCTGCCAGGCCCCCAGACATTCACCCAGACCCTGTCATTTTTAGACAGTCTGATCACACTGCTAGTAGTGACCACTTGGCTACATTTATCAGGCAGAGAGGTTTGATACAGAGACACCACTTTCTCTCCATTTTTGAAAATAGCACATTGCCCACGCCCATACACAGACACATGCACAGTGAAGTGATAAAAGCCATCCGCGGGGCAGGTGAAGGTGCCTGTTTCAGGACTGTAGCCTCCTCCCTCGTTGACCAGCACAGTGGCAAACTTCAGGACTCCAGAGTGACAGGGGTAGCTGTTATTGATATTCAGCTTGGCTGTGAAGGCTACAATGCCTAGAGTGGGCAACATCATGACAATTAGAGCAAGGACTTTACAATGTGACAGGCAACAAAACCCCCAAAATGTGCATTCATGATAGTGTGACAAGTTAGTTGATACT